CCCCCCCACCCCCACCCCCTTTGGAATTATTTTTAAAGTGACCAATTTTGATAAAGGATATATGTTTTCAAAGTTTTGATACTAGCGGAAATTGTTTTGTTTTTTTACAAGTGGAAGAAACCTTATACAAAAAAATCACCACGTACCGCTCAACATTGACGATCAATTAGTACATGACCCAGACTTGTATCATGGTTTGGGGGTGGGGTGGGGAGGGGGTATCCCTAGATCTAGAGGGGCTGCCCACCACCTTTGGCAAAAGAATTATACAGAAAGTAGATAAAACAAAAAATATTGATCCGCATACCTCTGCCTATAATACATAACTAATTCCGGATTTTGTATCTTTATTTTCTTGTATTTCTCAACTTCCTGGAGAGGGAGTGAGAGTGGGGGGGCCTGCAACCCCATATTCCCCAACCCTGACCAGGGGGTTAATAACGCCCCCTACACGTTTTCTAGTTTTAGAAAAAAAGGATCCATAAATTTCATAAACTAAAGGATCGGTCATAGTTTCAGGATTGACCAACATCTCGTCCCTACATAGTGTCGATTGAAATCGTTGGACAATCCATTTTCACACTGAACGGGTTATGTATGTCGGCAGCTTACAAAATAGCACAAATATAAAGATAATGTCGGTACAGCTTTTAGTACATATTAAGTTAAACCACGGAACTAGATTATCTAAGTCCGTGGTTATACATGTAACGGTACTTGTCATGTATTCTTTGACAGCAGATTACAACGTTTGTGCCTGATCATAATCTTGCACAAACTATGTTAAGAAATTGCCTTTTAACTTGAACAGTTACTTAGTGAGCAACAGAAAGACCATCTCTAGGCAATTACAGCGGAAATGTAAAATTAGTATATTTAAGCACGGACTTAGATAATCTAATTCCGTGATTTAAGGTAAGAACGCGTTCTTGAAATTAACGAATTTCGTGATACTGGGGGGAAAAAGTGTATAGTCTACACCAGAATTAACTTCTTCCCTTTTCTTTCATTTTCGAGGATAAAAAATCATATATTTTTGGTATCAACGCAACACTAACAAATACATGTCTGGCATTAAACAATGCCAACTTACACTGGTGTCTCGTAGTACCTTGAATGCACAGGGACCTGACAATTTGTTACGACTATATTTGGACTTACAAATTCTTAGGTCTATGTATCACGCACGGCTACGAATGGGGTGTAGCTCCTTAAATGGTCATGTATTTGCTAAGAACATTGCTCAATCTCCATTATGCATGTGGGGTGAAGTCGGAGACAATAATTTTTTTTTTTATTGGAATGTAACAGGTACGATCAAATAAGAAGACGCTACCTACAATGTTTTTGCCACATAATATTACTTTGGAGTTATTATTATTTGGAGATGATTCGTTTAATCCATTGGCTGAAAATAAGTTAATATTTCTATAGCTGTACATAATTATATTCTTAAAACTGGCAGATTTTCTATAACTGAATAATATGACATGTAAACTTGTACCATATATATATCTTACCCCAGCCACCTTACTCTAAGGAAGTTTAAACTATTGTTATTTCCATTAACTATTGGTATATATATATATGCGTGTGTTGCGTGTATGAATGGTGTTATCACGTACTGAATATAATAGTTGCTGTTAAAGGTTAAAGTGTGACTATCTGTGACACTTGTTCCTATTTCCCTTTGTCTTTTCTGTTCATTATACATTCTTGAACTGAAATAAAAGAAAGTTTAAACTAAATTTTCAGGTCCCTGTGCTTAAAAAAAAGAAAGGAAAAAACCCATTTCAAACCAACTTTATCATTTTCGTTCTTCATCGTGGAAAATTTGAAATAGCTGAAATTCATACTGATCTCAAAATGATTAACAGTATTTTTGCTTGAAGCCCGGGCCAAAATGCTTTATTATTATGTAATCTGAAGACAGACTGACGACCTCTTTCGTCAACATGCAAACTGTATTACTCATCAAAACAATTAATATTTAAAAAAAACCAATAGGCTACATGAACATTAAAAACATTTAAAAATTAATGTAAAAAATATGCTTGAGGTTACGTACCGTGTTCCTAATCATTAATATTTAAGCGAAACTGGCAATAATTACCACCACAAGATCAGATATCGTTATATAGAATAGAAAGTTTTATATAGGTTCGAAGCGATTGGGGCGATAAAGAATTTTAGTTGTCACACTTCGGGCGATGTGAAATAAAGTTGGGGCGAAAAGGTCTGGGGCGAAACAGTTTGTTGCAGGTGCCCGCTTATTAATGTACAACGTACAGAGTTATTGCCCCTGGCAGACTTTTCAAAACTGGACCGTAAACATTAAAAATGGCGGTTGATCCAAAATCGGTAAGTTGTTCTTTTACGCATGTCACGTTTATATTTGAATTGAGGCGTACGCCACTAAGCTGTCTTTTGTAAATGGTTGATATTAAGTCAAAGATAGAATGACAACACAATCTGCTTTACATTTTGTCTTTTCAGTACTTAATTTGGTGCTGTAATTTTTAGATAGTTTGTGTGTGTTTCGGGGAGGGGGTATCGCCAGGGGGTAGGCATACAAGCCATTGGGTAGCCTAGAGATATCGGGCCAAAAGTCCTTGTTACATTTGGAAGCAAATGAGAATGACATTGATAAAAACATATCAATAAAAACATTTATAAAATACATCAGGGCACGGTGGCCATATCCACGACTGACAGGATGCACCGAGCCAGAAGAATTCCTAGAAATTCCCATCAGGTCCAATACCAACAGCAATACTCGAAAACACTAATTAGACAACAATATTTTTTCCTCGTACCATACTAAACTGGAACAAATTACCATCGGACATCGTTAATGCACCCACTTTCAACTCTTTCAAAACATCTTTTTCCAGGCACACCTATAAAATTGAAGATGCAGAGTAATTAGTTACTTCAACATACTTAACATAATAATTTTCCACTTCTCTTCTTTTCCCCCTTTTCCCAACAAGCTTTGTCGGTGGGGGCTGCCCAATCACTGGCTTGCTCGGACCTCTCTCTCGGACTCTCCTCAAACTAATTAAATTCTCCTTCTCTTAACTTTAACTAAGTGATTATTTATTAATTATTTTGTGATGTATATAGTCTGTCATTTGTGCTGCATAAACCTAACTTTGTGACAAAATCTTCAATTAGTTGAAGGTGGTCACTATATGGTAGAACTAGAACATGATTTAGAATTTCACAATATCCCTTTTGGCGGAGACCTCCCCCTCCCCAAACACACACACACCATTCCTTTTCGTGATTTAGCACCTAATGTCACAGAAAAAATAAAATAGTATACATTTTTTTGAGAGAAAGTGAAGGTATTTACTTCAGAATTGCATAGCAAGCAAACAAAGCTTGGTGGAAGTCGGTCATGGCCAGAATCTTTTGCATTGTTCATGTACTTTTATCACATAAATTCTGATTGATTAGTGTTTCCAGACAACATCTTTCCTACTTATGTACAAATTTTCTCCAAATTAGTATAAAGTCAATGTCCAAGGACCATGCAAAGTTTGAAGATAAAGTAAGAATCTAGGCCATACAATATTTATCCTACATATACAATAATCCTAGTAGTCTGCCTACTGTAGTAGAGACCAACACATAATCTCTGACTCAAAGTGGGAAGTGAGCTTATTAATAACAGGACAATGGGATAAAATTTGTTGACATTCCTAATGAACCGTGACAGTGTGGACTAGCACTGTATTACCAGGCATTTGATGCCCGTGTTTTCCCAGATAAATCATAAATTCGGAAATTAATTGATTCTTTCCAGAAATAGTTAATTATTTAATCTTTACATACAAACATGTCACAGTAGGAAGCACATATGCATTAATTCAACAAATTTGCCAAAAAAAGTTTTTTTTTTAAAAACCTGCTGATTTTCGAATTTTAGAAGGTTCCTTGCCTTTCAAAATGGCTTCCAGCTCCGTGTTGGCCCTAAATGTCATCATATGGAGCACAATTTACCTCCAATGAACCTTTTTTATGTAATTCTTTGTGTTACATACAATAGTAGGGTCATAATCACATGACCAAAAATATACAAAAAAAACAACAACAAAACCCTGACCTAACTACCCTAGTTTTTTTGCCAATGCAACCCTAAACAGACTATATTTGTTTTGGCCTTATTGTAATTGTGTTTCTTCATTTCTTTCAGCATTTAAATACCAGTATAGAAGACTTTGTGTTTGTCAAGCCCATTAGCAGAGGAGCTTTCGGGTAACACCTTTTGTTTCAATTGTTTTTTTGATAAGCTGGTTTGAGGTCAAGAGCACATTGTCAGTTTTTAAAACTTGAATTTTATAATCAGAGGATTCAGATGTCTTATCTTATATATATATCCATAAAGAAAAAAGTCTACATAGTACACATTCAGCAGTGAAGTGTTTATTCCTGTTTCATTGAAACGGCTAAATACTTTGATTAATTACACTGGTGAAAAACATGAAAATGCTCCACCCATCAGCTGAAACAAGTGTACTCCTGGTGTTCACCAAGAAACCAGGAGGTATGGTAGTCTAGTGGTAAGATGCCGGGCTCGTGACCGAAGGGTTGCGGGTTCGAATCATGGCACTATGTTGCATCTTTGAGCAAGACACTTTGATTTACTCTGCTTGTTCCAGTGTACTCAGCTGTAAATAAGTATGTGGTTGGGCAGTGCTAGAATTGTTGAATGCTAGAGCTCTGTGAGCACCGAAATGGCAGCACCGGCTGTATGCTCCCCAGGGAGATATTGGCTGGTTACAAAGGCCCAATTAATATATAACCACGGATAATAATGTGTGAACTGCTTTGAGACGGCCTACGAACTAGGTTGTGATAGAGCAGTATATAAGAACCTCAAATTATTAATTATTAATTAATATTATATAGATGATAAACATTTTTCTTCATCCTCATTTGTTAGGTTATATATGATCACATGCAGATCAGTGATTTGTGGTACATGTATTGACTCAGTGTTACTATTTTTAGAAACAGCAGGTTAATAGTCTCTTTATGACATCATTTCCATTGTAAATTCATAATGCTTGGTGCCATATGAAGTACTTTCCTCCGTATAATTTTCATATAAGTATTAATTTATTCATACATAAAATATCCATATTTCCTTTCATAACAAATAAAACTTTTATTTTTGTGAGTATGTGGTTACACGGACTTCACCTTGGTCAATATCACTTTCTCAGGTTCATATAACCACATATTCACCTCGACAAAAGTCCATAATTGATAATTCTTTTTTTTATTAGTATGAGGGACATGTTGGTGAATTGTAATTCAATACAAATAACAATATGTTAAAAGTTCAACTATGAAATTTAGGTAGTTGATATTGAACATCGTTTCTGCTTAACAAATTAAGTATGAGTGGTTTTGTTTTAAATTTCAGCAAAGTTTTTTTAGGCTACAGAAAAGACAACCCAGAAAAGTATTATGCCATCAAAGTTATGAAGAAATGTGATATGGTCAACAAGAACATGGTTGATCAGGGTGAGTGTTTACTCTGAGCTCACTCATAAAGGCTTAAGGGTATTCATCGTTATTTCATCTTAGCCCTTTTCATTCTCAAATTATTAGAAAAAGATATCCTGTGTCTTTTGCATTACTGGTAAGCAACTGAAAAAAACATTGCTACCCCTGAAAAATACATTTACTTAAATAACTTAATAATTATGTAAAAAAAAATCTAAAATTATTTTATAATCAAAATAGTTAATTTTTGGGATATTTTGGTTTAGTTAAAAGTCTTTTTTATCTTGAAAGTATTTTGCCGATTTCATCTGATATCTTCTCAATTTGTAATCAACCATTAACTGCAAATAGAGAAAAATCACTTGTACTTTCAATGAAAACCCATGTTTCATATCTAAAAAAGTTCTACCATAATTAATTTTTGCAGAATAGTTTATTTTAAAATGATCATGACTGTACCCAGTAATATTGTTTTTCCACATATGGGATACAACAGGGAAAAATATCACTAAGAATCGGGAAACAATTTTGTATATAAATTAAACTTTGCACAATTATCAGGAGTCTGATAATAAAATATGATTTTAATGGTTGTATCGTCAGATGTTTTAAGTAGTTCAAATAGCTGTATGTTCATTCAAAAAAAGAGTTGCAAATGTGAGATCTTGTTTGCAAATGTTTGATATTTTTTGCAGTGCTAGCTGAGCGAGATGCCATGGCTGTCACCAAGAGTCCTTTTATCGTCCAGCTGTTCTACTCTCTCCACTGTCAGCAGAATATCTTCCTGGTATGACATGGAAATTACAGTCTAGCCTGATTTTTGTGTCTTCACAAATTATTTTCTTATATTCCCAATTATTTTCTCTTTTATTCGTTCGCTTAGTTGTACTTGTACCAGAGAAAAAAGCAAATCTAGTAACTTAAAGCATATTTTATTGACAAAAAATACCTGTGCGCAAGTCATTCAGAATGAACATTAGGGTAGGTCAATTTAAGTCCGCATAAATCTTATTCTACATTAAAGAATTTTCGAGAATTGGTAGGACATTTTGTTTTCACTTATACTAAATTATGTTGGATAGTATTTGACTGCATGTGTCTCGATTTCCCTGTTAGCCAAGGGAATTGATGATGTTATTGATATTATACAAATTCTGAAATTTGAAATGGTACATTGATTCATCAAAGACAATTGATCAAGACTAAAACTTAGAAAATAGTACTAGTTCTGTCTTGTTTGTGATTGTCAGGAGACCATGACCAGGTGTGGAGATACAGTTGACAATGTAAATGTGTGTTGACAACTCGTCTTTGTTTGTCAAGACCTCTGACCAAATTTGCATTTACAGATGAGATCTTTGTATAGACAGTGTAGATCTATCTTGTCTGTGAGGTAGTCGGAGAAGGTTTGAAGTTTCATGAAAATACTTTTGTTTAGGAGGCAGAGTAGTCTAGTGGTAGCTAGGACACAGGGCTCCTGACTAAAGGTTTGCAGGTTTTGAATCATGGCACAGCACTGTGTTGTATCTTTGAGCAAGATACTTTACTCCGCTTGTTCCAGTCTACTCAGCTGTAAATGAGTATGTGGTTGGGCAGCGCTAGAAGTTTTGAATGCAAGCTGTGATGGCAGCTGAAATGGCAGCACCGGCTGTATGCTCCCCCGGGAGTTGAGAAAGATGTTGGCTGGTTGCAAAGGCCCTATAACCATGGGTACTTATTTGTGAACTGCTTTGAGACGACCAATGAACTTGGTTTTGATAAAGCAGTAGATAAGAACCTCAAATTATTTTGATTATTATTAAACATGGAATAGATCTGTGGTAGAGTATTTGTGTTTGTGAGAATGGCTGACCAAATGTGGAGATACAGGAGAGGTCTAAGTGGCAGTGATGTGTTGATACTAACTCATATCACAGTCAGCTTTGATCAGCTTCTTTGTCTGCTATGCACCAGGTCTAGTAAACCATGGCACCAACTTCTTTGTCTGTAGTCACACCAGGTTTAGAAAGCCATAAGGTCAATTTCTTTGTCTGTCGTCACACCAGGTCAAGTAAGCCATGAGGTCAACTTCTTTGTCTGTAGTCACACCAGGTCTAGTAAGCCATGAGGTCAACTTCTTTGTCTGTAGTCACACCAGGTCAAGTAAGCCATGAGGTCAACTTCTTTGTCTGTAGTCACACCAGGTCAAGTAAGCCATGAGGTCAACTTCTTTGTCTGTAGTCACACCAGGTCAAGTAAGCCATGAGGTCAACTTCTTTGTCTGTAGTCACACCAGGTCAAGTAAGCCATGAGGTCAACTTCTTTGTCTGTAGTCACACCAGGTCAAGTAAGCCATGAGGTCAACTTCTTTGTCTGTAGTCACACCAGGTCAAGTAAGCCATGAGGTCAACTTCTTTGTCTGTAGTCACACCAGGTCAAGTAAGCCATGAGGTCAACTTCTTTGTCTGTAGTCACACCAGGTCAAGTAAGCCATGAGGTCAACTTCTTTGTCTGTAGTCACACCAGGTCAAGTAAGCCATGAGGTCAACTTCTTTGTCTGTAGTCACACCAGGTCAAGTAAGCCATGAGGTCAACTTCTTTGTCTGTAGTCACACCAGGTCAAGTAAGCCATGAGGTCAACTTCTTTGTCTGTAGTCACACCAGGTCAAGTAAACCATGAGGTCAACATCTTTGTCTCAAGTCGCCGCACATTTATTGCTTGTATATCTGTATTTTATAATAAGATAATGTTTCTAAAATATGACTTGATATTTGATTTGCTTTCGTTCTCCAGATCATGGAATACATGATTGGTGGGGATGTAAAAAGTCTGCTGGTCGTCTACGGCTTCTTTGATGAAGATATGGCACTTATATACGCAGCGGAGGTGACACTGGCTCTCCAGTATCTGCACTCCAGGGGCATCGCTCATAGGTAAGTATCTACACTCTAGGTATCAATCTCTTACAGTTAAGTACCTATACCCCAGAGTCATTACTCGCAAGTTAGTAAATACACTCTAGGGCTTAAATTTAACATTTATTATACTGTACCAGAAAATCATTAAACTGTGATAAGTTTATTATACAAATGTAATTTGAACCAGGCATTTGTTAGCCCTCAACCAGTACTACTGGAGGGGACTATAGGCTTTCACTTGTAAGTATGTTATGGGAATGCAGAATATCACATAGCAAAATTTGGTCACACACCTACACTATATACAGAGTTATTGCCCTTTGTAGGACATATCTCATGCATATACTCTTGTCAACTACAAAGACAAAAGTTTTTATGCGATTACCTCTTGAGATCAGGGAGTGTCACATACTAACATTGGGTCTTGTGCCTTACTATATGTAGAGTTGTTGCCCTTGGTTTATTTTGATACCAAAAAATTCTTGATGTACTGTGTAACATATATTTACTATAATGTTAACAATACTTTTATTATACTGTGAAGCATCCATAAGTTGTACATTGAACTAGACATGAACGAGAAATACCTATATATATATTCAAAATGATAAGTTGATATTTTATGAGGTTATGATTATGAGGTGTTAGAATCAAGCTGGGAACAAGGAAATTGAATATATACATATCAATAGAAAGTTATTACCTTGTACTTCAATTTACAGTACTTATTTTGTCTGTGGATGGTTTATGAATATATATTCGTTAGTTGGATCGGAGAATGCATATTAGGTCTGTAGATTAAAGGGGCTGGTCGGGGAAAAAAATACAAAATAAATGGGTCTAAATGCGTTCTCTGGCCAAAAGTTATACCACGGCAATATGATGGTTGAGTTCTGCTTGCAATATCCAGTTTTGACCACTGAAATATCGGGGAAGCCCCGCGTAACTTTAGCGCAGATCTATTTATATATGTCACGTGGTTGTTTCCAAAGTGAGGCAGTGAAGATAACAACAATAGCACACCGTCTATCAGCCATGTCGGACTCACCTAGCGGACAAGACAGCAATACTATACGTATATAATTGTTTCAAAGGTCATGTATGATGCAAGTGTAGTATTCCTACCTATATGTTGTTGTTATATATAACGGTTTTGATACCTCGTGCCTGTAATGACTTTTGCATGCATCTTTTTTCTGTCGCCGCGATGTTTACATTTGGCCTTGTTGATGACGTGCATGCAGTAAAATTACATCACTGATCTGGGTCAATTGAGAGTTTTAGACTGTCAGGCGACGATTTAGGATTTCTTTAATATAATTATAATTTTTACTCTAAGGGAGTGAATTTCAGCAAAATTTGAATCGGTATATTTCATAAGAAGGTATTTTAAACATGTGTATGCCATTTAAGTAAATATGACATTTTTTCCCCGACCAGCCCCTTTAACTCCATCCAGATTAACCCTTTCAACCCTACGTAACTTTACCAAACTCTACCATGCATTGATCTGGATGAGTCCATTATGGTCTACAGTGGTGAAAGGGTTAACTGTTGCTGTCACACATCTGTGTCTCTATGACTATGGTTAGGTTATAATGGGACGATAACTCACGTTGACAGGAACATTGATTATGTGAAGACTATATAGATGTATATATAGACAACTCTTTGTTCTTTATAGCCTGATATTTAATCCGACACCTCTCTGTTCCAGAGACCTGAAGCCTGACAACATGTTGATATCGCCCGAGGGACATATAAAACTGACAGACTTCGGACTGTCCAAAATCCAATTTGAAGTGGGTAAGGTCAAATTAACAAAAAGTTCAAATGTTCATGAAAAAGTTATTTCTTCACTTTTGATGACTAGAGATTAATGTAAGTGTGTTTGTAAATCTACGATGCTTGTTTGAGCAGTTAAGATAGAAATATCTCAGGGACGAGGGATTAGCTCTAAATAATCTTCATTTTTCATAGGTGTATAGCTTCTGAGGGTGATGATTTTGAAAAATATCACCCATTCAATATACCCTCAAACTAATGAATCTAGATGCAGGAATGTCCTTATCCAGGTTATATAATAATAATAATATACAACATTTATATAACGCCCTATATAATTTGTAAAATTACTCTAAAGCGCTTTACAGCATATTGATAATAGTATTAGTTATACCAAGTACTTGATTTGGTGTTTAAGCTGTCTCTGTTTCCGTCACACAGGGACGACAAATTATCTTTATAAATTGTTTTTTGTTGTTGAGAAAACAGGTGATATTATTTTAGATGCGTTCAGAATGTTAAAAAATTTGGTGATAACCAAGGTTACTTGGTTGCAAATGGTGATTGGAAATTAAGAGAAAAATATGAATGATTGAAAAAATAGTGATTCCACTTACTTCAAATTACTTTGATATTGAGAAAGTTTTATTAAGTCTTTAATATACATTGTATATCCATCATATAATTTTGTCTTGATTGATTCACTTTCCTCTACATCCCATGGATCAAAATATGAATGATTTACAATACATTTACATGACTTACACTTCAACATGTACATCATATTAAAATAAGTTGTATGGTTTTCATGCTTACTTTTATAACTTACAGCTACCGGTATATTATTTCAAGTACAAATAAAATTAAAAGTTAATGTATGAATTTTGTGAGAATGCAAAATTTAAGTAAGTAAACATTTCTGTTTGCTTGCCTAGGGACATGTAAACTGGGAAAGACCCCCCTCCCCTACAGTAGTCACAGGATGGATTGCTTCCGCACCCCTGGCCAGATCCTCTCCCTCAAGAGTAACCTTGGATTTGTAAGTATCAGAGACATACCAACTAATGATACTTTGAGACACTGGTCAGTCAGCTTACTCTCTAATGAAATTATTTTCGTCTCGTCGCCACGAAGTAGCGGAAGCGAGACTTTTGTGTTGCTTTCAAGCAGCAGCGTCAATATTAAGTTTTTGTGTTTAAGTTAGTTTCACTGAAAGTATAACTGCTAGACCGACAAAACTTGGACCATAGATGCATATTAGGTAGTCCATCTCAACCCATGCATCAAATACTGGATGCAGCCTGCCGGCCTACCTTTCATGGTCCATTGACTTTGTCAGCATCTCCTTATCAACATTAATCTTTTGCATCTAAGTTAGTTTCACTGAAACTATAAGTGCTACCCAACCAAATTTGATATGTGCATTGATGGTCAAAGCGGGACACAGGTGAGACATATCAATCTGAATGGCATGGCTTGTTGCTACTCCAAGGCTACATTCGCATATCCCGGTTGAAACGGTACGTGAGGCGCAGGAATATTCCACGGTGAACGAACGCACTTGGACCGTCCTATAAGCAGAGCTAAAAAAGTACAGTTTTGGAGAATAAAAAACAATGTATCAAGAATATTATGCCCTTCTTTTCACGCGTCAACTGAATAACATAACGTATCTTAAAAACTACATGTGGCTTGACATTGTTTTAGAAAGAAATAACGCAAACTGGCAATAGTCAGCATGTTAATTTCGGCCAGGCACGTCTCGACCCCTCAATCTATACGTGCCTGAGGTCCTGAGGTCAGCCTCGGTTCAGATCTGTACCTGTCGTTTTCTTTACAGGTTCAACCAGTTCAACCGTTTCAACCAGATACGCGAATGTACCCCAAGGATGCTTGTTTAACTGATACTTTTAATACTTAGGAATTGTGGGATGGCTGTAATAATTGTTCTTGGTTATGTCATTTGACTGTGGTAAGGGACACGTATTTTATCACCCCTACATATTGTGTGGCGGTAAGGACCTGTATTTTCACGTGCCTGCATAATGTTTCTTGAGTTTGGCACAAGTATGGTATCGGGCCAGCATAATTTTACTTCTCTGTCTGACTGCCTGCAGTATTAGAGTGCTATTTGGTAAAATGTCGCGATATTTCCTCACAGCTGATTTACTGACTCGGCATATTGTGGTCTGGTGAGTTGTTTTCATCAGTTTAGTGTTGAGACACTGGTCATTTGCACTCTTTGCTTCACAGAGGAAACCAACATTTTAGAAAGCCGGCAAAATCAGTTTTTAATTACTGTTTGTGTTCAAAACAACCTTAGCATTTAATACACTATGTTCGTTATCATTGATATATATATCTTGGTCAACATTTTCAGTGTAACTGAAGTGTTTATTGTAGATGATTCTATATATGTTATGCCTGTTTTTCAGAATATCCCTTCTGCGAAAAAGGTACAAAATAACGTAGACAACATGGAGACCCCTGCCTCCAGACGTAAGCGTATTCCCCGAAGTCCTCTTGTAAACTTAAACACCAACTCTCCAAACGTGCAGCATTCCAAACCTAAGTCGCTGAGGGATCGTCTGGTGAGCCAAGCAACCAAGACACGCTTGTCGTCCTCGGCCTTGTCACTGCCTCCACCCGTAATGAGCTTGACGCCAACTCTGCAGGACTCGTTAAACTGGTCCAACAGTTGTAGCGAGGGAAGTTCCTTCCAAAGGGAGTCTTCACGTCGTTCCAGTCTGTTCGATGATCGAACTCTCAGCACACATAACCTGATGGCAATGGCGGAAAGCCACAAAGTGTCAAATTTCAGAAACATCAAGATAAGTGAAATTGTCACGGAAAGTTCGTTGGATTGGACGGGTAATCACAGTGAAGACACTGGGGATAGTATTTTCGAGAGCAGTATAAGTATTGATATGTCAGCAGACAAAAGTTCTGATTCAGTATTCTACAAGAAATGTCACGATGGCGAAGAGGATTGTTGTGAGGAAGACTGTTGTAACAGCCACCTGAAGGCTCCGTCACGACAGGAGAGCATGATGGACGATACCCCCCAGATGCACCGGTCTAACGAATCTGTGTGGAACTCATATGCAGCAAGGAATCTGCGATCAATGCGTCATGGGTCTTACTCGGAGGATAGCGACGAAAACGAGGAACCAAAGCAGAGGGGTGCGGTAATGAGAAAGAAAAGTTCAAAGTCTAGCTGTGGTAAAAGTAGCATACAAAGTGATGATAGTTCTACAAATGTGCGTCAGTTTCCCGGGCGAAGCAGGGACAGACGGGTGTACAGTTATCACTCGGACGAAGAGATGGACAATCTACAAAACAGTGAAAAAAGGCGCTGTAGCAGTGAAGGGCGAAACAGGAAACGACAGTTTGACAAGGTGGCCAGAAGTCCTTTGATAAAGAAAGTGTACTCTAAAACCGGCATCACACAGGAAATCTGCACGATGAAGTTGTATGGCGACGAGCACCGCCTAAAAAGGAGTAACTCTGAGAAATTGAACAGAGAATTAGACACGTACAATCTATGTCACAGACAATACAATACAGACAATTACAGAGACTTTGTGGATTTAACGTCAGAAAATCTAAAATCGGATGCTTGTGCAAGTTTATGCAAGGAAAACAACTTGCCTGAAAGAGTTCCCTCACGATCCTCTTGTTGTCGAAGACTTTCAGGCAAGCTGCGTTCAGAACAACAAAAACATGAACAGAAAATTTCAATGAAATGCTCTCTGGAGGAGGAGGAGGATGCACTCTTACCTTCGTCACTTTCTTCTCCGGATGTCAGTATGTCAATTTTGAACGATAAATGTGAAATGGCAGATAATTCAGAGAATATTTCACAAATTGTGTCCGATGTAGTTTGTGATTCTTTGACCGACATGGACCAGTCGGATGATCCTTGCACATCACTAAACAACAGTTCAAACAAAGAGATGAGTTTAGACCGAGAACCAGTGGCTGTAGAGGACAGAGAGTCTGACGCATCAGTCGGTGATTCTGAAGGGTCAATGGAGATGGATAACACATCCCCTGTAAAAAACAGTCATAAAAAAACGACAAGATTTCAGAGTCCGGAGGGCAGAAGTTCTGCATCGAATCCTGGTCTGGTACCACAGACACCAGATCCCTCTACTTACAAAAAGGTATTTATTCTGACCTCATCAAACATGAGAAAACTCCCATTTCTCTATATTTGGAAATTATAGCATCTGAAACAGAAAGTATCTTTAATTTTACGATAAGCATTCATGTTTTATTTTTTAAATCTCTCGGGTGCCTCAAATGTGTCAGGTATGATAAGTGTTTGTCTCGCCACCACTAAGTAGCGGAAGTGAGACAAAAGTGTTGCTTTTTCAGCAACGGCAGCGTCAACATTCAGTTTTTGCGTTTAAGTTAGTTTCACTGAAAGTATAAGTGCTAGACCAACCCAACTTGCACCATAGATGTATCAATCTTGTAATTAGGTAGAGCATCTCAACCCATTCATCAAATGCTGGATGCGGCCTACCTTTCATGGTCCATTGACTTTGTCAGCATCTCCATCAACATTATTTTTTTGCGTTTAAGTTAGTTTCTCTGATATGTGCATAGATGGTCAAAGTGGGGCATAGGCGAGACATATCAATCCGAAAGGCTTATTATATAGTTGTCGTATATTTTATTTCTATTTAAGGACCCTATCCAGCAGACACCTGTCATTCATCGCCCGACGAGACCCACACAGTCGCTGCACGCCCACTTTGCACCAGCTGTGTGCGAGACACCCGTCTCACAGATATCACGACAGGCATTTCCACCCGTCACCCCAGGCTACAGCAGAACACCAGCCAGGAACCTAATGAAAACTCCCTTCAAAACCCCTAAAAGTGTGAGGAGGGGACAAAAACCAAACACAGACGATCAGCGTATACTGGGTACCCCTGACTACTTGGCTCCAGAAATTCTAGAACAGAAAACACATGGTAAGAAAGTGAAAAGTCGAAATTGCCATAACTTCACTCTCTAGGTCAAAGGTCAGATAAGTGCAATTTTTTTTAGTAAATTGGACGGTATTTTAAATTTCTAAATAAAGCTATATGTCTTTTTGAGACCTCAAATATGTACTAGATCACTCACAGAAGATGTACAGTGAACTGTAAATTTATAACTTTCACCTCTAGTGCAAATTAAATGTGCATATTGGGATTTGTGATTTGTGACTTTTTTTGCTACGAGCTGACAACCTGCTGAATTGTCCAAGTGATATATTGATAGACTTACAGGAGAAGGTAAAAGGTTGGTGAAGCTGATTTGCCTGTGTCCTGTTATAGTTCATATTACATATGTGGCAGATTTTAATTGTACGTCGGATTACGGTTGCCTTCTAGCTTCAAGCTAGAGGGAATTTCCCTTAAGCTCAGTGGTAGAGCGTGCACCTGACTAGGAACCTGGAGATCGGGGGTTCGATCCCCAGTGGAAGCACACTATTCTCTTTCTTTTCAACAAAGTATCCCTCACAGGTTCTTCCACTATGGCTACATTCGCGTATTCATGGTTGAAAAGGTACGTGTGGCACAGAAATTTTCCACGATAAACGAACACACTTGGACTGTTCTATAAGCAGAGATAAAAATGCACAGTTTCGGAGAATAAAAACAATGTATGAAGAATAGTATGCCCTTCTCTCACGCGTCCACTAAATTACATAACGTATCTTAAAAATTACAGTTGACTTGACATTGTTTAAGAAAGAAATAACGCAAATAGGCAATAGTCAGCATTTTAGTTTCGGTCAGGTACGTCTGGACCCCTCAATCTACACGTACCAAATTTTCCTGAGGTCAGCCTCCGTCCAAATCTGTACCTGTCGTTTTCTTTACAGGTTCAACCATTTCAACCGGATACGCGAATGTAGCCTATAACTGTACTAATATTAGGTGACTGTTAATGAATTCTTCAGTGTTTCATCTATTCTATTTATACAGGGCCCACTGTTGACTGGTGGGCACTAGGAGTGTGTCTGTTTGAATTCCTCACCGGGGTACCACCCTTCAATGATCAGACCCCTGACCTTGTTTTCCAAAACATACTCAACAGAGGTAAGCAGTCTACAGAACTGGACCATGATCCTCTTCCCATATAGCATGGTCTGGTTTCTAAAAATACACATATGGTGAAAATGAAAGAATAACAAATCAAACAAAAGTGTGTTACAAACAATTCTATGATAAATGTGTTTTTATTCTCAACCCAGAGTCAAGTTCAATCAAATAATACATAGTACATGTAGATACTAGGGGCCTGGCTGTTCGTGTATGCGGAACGACCGGTTTGTCCGTTTTTAAATGTAACAGTTTCAGGTATAAATCCTGGCGGACCTGCAAATGTTTATACAGGCCTTGCAAGGCTTTGTCAAGGCTCGCCTGGAAGCAGCATCAGATTACTAGGTCCGATCTTATTTAAAAAAACGAACGACTGTGGTCTAACCGGTTCAACTGTTTAAACGAAAACGGCGTAAGTCAACGTCCCAAGGGAAGAAGCTCATGTAATTCTTTGATGTACCAAAAACAATTCTTCACAAAAAAAAAGAGGATTAATATACTCGGGCCAAGATATTCAAAGACATTTGATATGATAAGACCCAAATTTAAAGCTACTTGGTGATGCCATTAAAACCTTTTAAGGTAAATAAATAACTATAGAAAACGTTGAACTTTGACCTAAAGTTTTTGTAAAAACATTTGAGCTTGTGTTATTCTGTCTTTGCGTATTGCAGAGTTATCTTCTCTTGGGAGTAGGTATTGATTGTTACGTCATTGGTTTGTGTGAGAAATTTACGTTGTTTTCTCAAAAGTTGATGACGTTACTCTCACAAACCAATGACGTAACAATCAATACCGGCTCACAAGAGAAGATAACTCTGCAATACGCAAAGACAGAATAATTATGATGAAGATATACTAAAAATTAAGGTAAAAATTTAATATAATGATAATTTGAAACATTTTTTTTTTTTTATCTCAATATTTAAATTTCATTTTGTTAAGTTAACGTTGTATCCGTTATTTGATGTAACAGTTTTTCACACAGAAAACCTTAGATATAAACATCAAAGGTTTTACATTATGTATAACATGTAAAATAATTCAGTTTTGTAAATACATTAAGGATGTACTATGTGACTGTTCTAGACAACTTATTCACAAGTGTTTTGATTTGCAGAAGGAAAATAAATAGTATGATAAATCCTTCACTTATTTGTGTCTCTGTTAATAATTGTGATAAATTGACAGAAGATAGACCTTTCAAATGAGTGTGCAATTTATACCTCATTAAATATATATAAAAAAATGTTTGAATACTTTTGGACTTTCTTGTTGTTGTTGTTGTTGTTGTTGTTAACAAAATTATACAAATTCAAATCATCAGAAAAGATGTTAAAAAAATGCTTGATCATGTAGAAAGTCATCCTCTATCCTCCCCCAAAAAACCTATCATAATTAGAGGATAGAAGTCTATCACTGAAAAGGTTCCTTTAGCAGGAATGTAAGGTATATGTGCCAGAACAATGTTCTTACCCGGACAGTTTCGCTGACATTCTGCCAGCTTGGTCACTGGTGACATTAGTGATGTGAGTAACACACTTGAAAGAACATCAAAAGGAAGCTGAGTCCATTTGTAACAACAGAAACTTTACTAGGTCAGAGATTAATTTAAAAAAAATTGTCATGGAGAAAGCTGAAGTGCGACATTCCTTGTTGTTGTAGATATTCCGTGGCCGGAGGATGAAGAAGCCTTGTCGGACAATGCCCAGTATGTGATTGACGAGCTCCTGACTGTGGATCCTGACCTTCGACCCTCAGCCAAAGGTAAAATTCCCATTCTTTATCCAGTCTTAACAGGAACTAAACCTCACCTTATGTGATTTATGATGGTTGTAAGATTCATGTATGGATGTTTTTAGATGTATTCAATATATTTTTAATTTTCAGTGAAATGCATGTCCTTATAGAAATTACAAATTTGAATGACAGATGACCTCTCTCAGGAATTCCCTCCTTTTTTTAGGTCACCTGAGCTTTGCTCAAGTGACCTATTCCAATCACTTTCCGTCCGTCGTCGTGCGTAAACTTTTTACATTATCAACTTCTTCTCAAGAACCAGTGGATGGAATTTTTTCAAACTTGGTCAGAATCATCCTTGGTAGATGAGGCTACCAAATTGTAAAATTGGGATTCCTACCCCAACCCTAGGGGCCAGGGCGGGGCCCAAAAGGGAAAATTAACCAATATTTCAAAAATCTTCTTCTCCAGACTCAGAGGTATTACAGTCATTTTCTCTGCATGGATGGAAAGATCATCAGGGGCTTTATTT